AAGTGCCTCTCAAAGCAATAATGAGAAATACAGAATGTTTTTCCAAAGTTCTTACACCAACTCTGATTCTCAAGTAGGTGTACAATTCATTATCATTTCTTCCACCAATTAGGTGGCAAAATATGCCAAGGTTGAAACCCAGGTTATACAAGGAATATCTGAATCTAGAATTCACACACCAAGGTTTTGCAGTCTAGGGCTGATCTCTCTATTTGTCCTAAAAGGTTCAAACCCCATGATTGAGCTGATGCTCAATTTCTCAATTTTTCTCTAGTCTTGGTCACTATAATTTTTGCTTGCCTGCTTGCTTTTTCCTCTTTCCTTTTACATTGTTGTTATAATAATGTTTTATTCACACTGGTAGTTGCACCCAAGGGTGTGCTATTGCAACTCTTACAGGCTCATGAGAGCTGATTGTTAAATTTTCAGTGTTATCACTTACACCTCAGAAATTGGCAAACTCTACAAATTTGTTGATTTGGTATTTTGTTGATAATGATGATTTTGTTGTTTGCCTGTATACATTCTATCTCTACAACCCGCCCCACCCCAAGAGCTAGTAGTTAAACATTGTAACTGTCTAACACACCACTGATTATATCCCACGTGCTGAATTGTCCTGTCTGCATCTGGCTAACCATGTGTACTTTGGTCAGTACTAAAGGATTTGGATGTTTTAGGGTGATGAAACAATCACCTTGTTGGTCCCTTAGCCCTATGATTGTGGAAGGGGAGGGATTTCAGTTTAAAAAAGGAGAAGCAACTTTTGGCTCTGTTTCTTCCTCTTTAAACTGTGTGGCAAGGTGTTTTCTCTCCTTGGTCTTCCAATGAAAAGTGGGGAAGGAGCCCCTTTCCCCTACCCTGGCAGAAATTTAGGTGAGCCTGAGACTGGATCTTAGAGAACTGGCTGCCTTTTCTGCTTTGTGTTTTCTTGCCTGAGCAGAGGTGACTGAATAGCAATATTGAGATGGATTTGTCTAGTCTTGGAGGCAATCTTCTGAGTTTGAGAAATCTAGAAGTCCTTGGTCCTTGGTTGGTATTTGATTTTCCCTCTCTACATACACTACAGTGAAGATCACCTGGAAAAATAAGGTACTAGACACTGAAGTCCTTTCTCCAGCTAAACTGTCAAGTATTCAAACTCTACCACAGAGAACACAACTCCAATGGACTGGCCTCATTGTTCAAATGCCAAACATATGTTTGCCTAAAAGACTATTTCACAGAGAACTCACACAAGGCAAGTGCTCACGTGGAAGTCAGAAGAAGGACACTCTCAAGATCTCTCTGAAAAACTTTGGAATTGATTGTGAGACATGGGAGACACTGGCACAGAACTACTTAGCATGGCGTGCCCACATCAAAAAAAGCTGGTGTGCTCTGTGAGGGAAGCAGAATTGCAGCAGCTGAAAAGAAATGTGAGATGTGCAAATTTAGAGACATCTCTACTCCAAATGTTCATGTGGATTACTTGTGCCCAACCTATGGGAGAGCCTTCCAAGCTCATATTGGTCTGATCAGCCATCACTATACCTTAACCTCAACATAATGATGTCATTTTGGTTCTCTTTGAGAAGAAAGGACAACAGCCAACAGTTCTTCTTAGAGAAGATGATCTCAATACCTGGCCTGGCTTTCCAGAAGACACGAATCTGGAAGGAATTCTTTTCACAGGGCTGAGGTGAAATGTAATATTCGTTAGTTCTGAAGTATTCATTAGCTCTGAAAACAGCTTCAAGTTTGTTGTTGTTCTGTTGTTTGTTATTGTCTGACTTTTCATGACCCCATTTGGGGTTTTCTTGGCAAAAATACTAGAGTGGTTTGCCATTTCTTTCTCCAGCTCATTTACATATGGGGAAACTGAGGCAAACAGGGTTAAATGATTTGCCAAGGGACACAGAGCTAGTACATGTCTGAGGCCAGATTTGAACTCAGAAAAGTCTTCCTCACTCCAGGCCCAGCACTCTCTGTGCTGTGCCATCTAGCTGCCCTAAATGTTTTAGTTGTTCATTTTCATGCGTGCGCGCATGAGCGCGCGCATGTGTGTGTGTGTGTGTGTGTGTGTGTGTGTGTGTGTATGTAGGGTGGTATAACTCTTTGTTAATGCGCATCTGTAAGAGACTTGTGTTTAGCATTTCTTTGATATAGAAGAAATAAATAGCTGTCCTGTAGTTGATTTATATTGTAAGTAGGAGTAACTTTTTTCTTCTTTATTGTTGTTCAAGCTTTTTCAGTTGTGTCTGACTCTTTGTGACCCCATTTGTGGTTTTCTTGGCAAAGATACTAGAGTAGTTTGCCATTTCCTTCTCCAGCTCATTTTACAGATGAGGAAATGAGACAAACAGAGTTAAGTGTGTCCAGGGTCACACAGCTAGTAATTGTCTGAGACCAGATTGGAACTCAGGTTTTCCTGACTCTAGTGCTCTATCCACTGTGCCACTTAGCTGCCAACTTTCAGCGAACCATGAGCCCCTAAACATGAGCCAGACTTAAAGTAATTTTGCCCCAGGCTCCAGGGTAGGGGTCCTATGAACCAAAGACAAGAGTTTAACTTCTCTAATTTGGAGGTCATTTTCCCTAGGTCCAGAGCTGAGAGGGACCCTTTGAGGGAGAGGGAAAGGGCAAGCCCACTGAATCCAGCAGTAATTTCACTTGTTACACATCATTTTCCTGGTTCTACTTACTTATATAAACTCACATGGAAAGAAGCAAGCAGAAATTTCTATTGTTTCTTGGTGTGATAGGTTTGACTTATGCCCAGATCATCTAGGATGGAGGCACCTATGTAGAAGATACCAGGGACCTGCTTCTAGAAGATACTCTGCATTCCTTTACTTCATGAAGCCTCTTTCCATAGGCTGCATGAACTGCATGTGTCTTTAAATCTACCTGATTGAAGCACAGTTGCTCACTTTTTCTGGTGGCATTCAGGGAGGAAAGACAAATTCAGTCACAGCAGGGACACCATGAAGTAATGAAGGAAGGCAGGAAGGGCCTGAGAGCCACCTTTCCCTTCTCTTAGGTCCTGTGGCCTCTAGAAATGGGCTTGTGGATTTGGTCTTGTTTTATTTGTCCTTTTCAGGTCTAGGTGTGGGGAGTGCCCTGATTTGGGAGCCATAAGGGCAGTGGAGCCCAGGATTTCTGGCAAGATGTTCCAACTGGCCCAGGAGGGAAGCCATAAAAAGGCTACACCACGCCCATTTATTAAATATTTATTATATGCTAAGCTCTGGGAATTCAAATACAAGTAGAAAGATAGTCCTTTCCTTTAAGAAGCTTATATTCTAATATATTCTAATAACACATTAAAAAGCTGAGAGTGGATGAGGTAAGATGAAGGTAGCCAGTAAGAAGAATTTGTCAAGGAAGTCCTGCAGAGAAAGGAGTACAGACTGATGAGGAATGAAGTCGTAAGTGGGCTGGGTTTCTTCCTTAAAATGAAGGGTCTGGGAGAAACCAGACAGAGGAAGAGTAAATATTCCATTGTAAAAAGCTAATCTGTTAAATTGCTAAATAGAACCAGGGTGATTGGAACCCTAAAATTGGGGAAACACAGTGAGGGCTTGCGCCAATGGCAGAGATGAAAGGCTACCCACCCCTACTGGAAAACCCTGGAGGAGAAAGGGAAATGTAACACAGCTGGCTTTCAGGCAGTGAGAGGTCAGAATAATCAGTTATACAGGGAAAACAACTTCAGTTCACAGACAGGGTTAGTCCTTGCCTAGTCTTTCCTGGAGCATTGTTACTTCCTCCACCTTTGCAGCAACTGCACATCCAAAACTGGTTTCACCTGCAGGGATACCAGCAGGAGTCAAAGTAGAAATGCCCGTCGGTGTTAAGGGGAGGTAGGCAACTGGAAGCAGCACCAGCAAGAGACAAAAGGAACGAGTAAAAGAATGGGCATAGTTCCCTAGGTGGAATTCCAAATGGAGGAGAAAAGAGCTGCCCGGAGTTGAAGTCTGGATTCCAAGCCGATCCCAGCATCCACTACTTTTCCTTATCTTGCTGGTGCGTCTCCACCACTTCCACTTTTTGGCTGGGACTCGCCTAAGCTGGGGATTCTGGGGCAGGAAGAGGTCGGGGGAGGGGTCTGGAGCCAGGCGGGGGTCGGAGCAGCCAGGCTGCCCACTGCTCCTGGGAGCTTCAGGCGAAGAGGCCTGGCCACTCCCGACATCGCGGGCAGCCTTAGGGGCTAGTGGGCAGGGCAGGAGAGGCTCCGCGCGCCGGCAGTACCCGCTGCGAGTCTGCTCCAGTCACCAGGCCAGACCACCACGCCTTCGCGGGGGCGGGGTTGGAAGAGAGGCTTTTGTTTCTCTCCACTTCCCCCAATCTTTTATTTATCCAACACTTAAATGGCTCCTGTGTGCAGAGCCGATGCTAGGCTTAAGGGTGAGATACAAGAAAGTCCACCCTCCCTTCCCGTGTTAATTCCTTTGGAGAACTCGCCAGCTACACATGAGCACAGGGGGAGAGAAGCAGCCAAGTAGCCAATTGGCCTGACTTGTGGAGCACTGGGCCTTGTGGGGAAGATGACAGGGAGTGAGATGCTTATCCAAGCAACAAAATGATAATTATACCGAAACTATTTCAAGTTCTTCCCAGACCCCCTTACCCAAAAGAAGACCTCTCACTATTTGGCCTTAATTAAATTACTTTCCCTCCATGAGCTTGTTTCCTCATCTGTAAAATAAGGAGGTTGGCTGAGACAACCTCTAAGATCAGTTTTAACTTTCAGATACTATGATTATATGCATAAATTCTGGCTCTGCAGGGAAGGGAAAAAAGAAATGCACAGCTTGAAGGATGGGGACTTGAGAAGGTAAAAAGTTCTTAAAGCTCAGTTCTATGTCACTTTCTGTTCAAGAATCTTTACTGGGCCCTATATTTCCTCCAGGTTGAAATACAATCTTCCTTAGCTTGCCATTTTAAAAACTATTGATGCTTTTTGTTTTCTATTCATTGATTTCCCTATGTATGTACTTCCCCAGCCACCCTTCAAGTCTTCCTTTGTAACAAAGATTTTTAAAAAGCAAGTTGGCAGAACCAAGCAACTTAAGAACTGCAGACATTGGTACCGAAACCCGGGAGTCCAAATATTAATTGGACTCTGCTGATCTTCTCCTAGCCACTGGAATAACAGGTAATCGACCTTTTTTTGTTCTCTTCCCTAGACCTTTCTGCTCCTACTGTCTCCCTGGCTGAGAGACCACTGGAGGGCCGAGACGCTGCCAGTGGCATCTGAAGCTCCACTGACCTCTGGGCAGTCAGTCCCACTGTTGACCCTTGTATAAAGAAAGGGACGCCCTTGTACTGAGTCAGTCACATTTTTTTTCCTCTTGTGTGTCTTGGGACACTAAGACAAGCGAGAGGCTGCTAGGAGACTGCTAGGATGGTAAATTCAGGGAAGGAGATCTTAAGGAAAAGTGCCTAGTGTTCCATTGTAACACAGCCTGACCTCAATGTAATCTAAAAAAGTAATTTGTGAAGGGGATTTCTAAACAAGACAAGCTTAGTAAGAAATTTAGTCTCCAAAACTTAAAGAAAAGGCACCTTGCTCTGCTTTTCTCCCTTGCACCCTGGTTTACTGTTTATTGTTCCTTCCCCTTCCCCATGGGATGTTGGGGAGACGGGTAGGTGGGCCTTTGTGCCTGGTTTTCTTTGGGGTTCCCTGTGCCTTGTTGCAGAGTCTCCATGCCCTTCGGACCTCTATGCCTGATTTTCTTTGGGGGTCCCTGTGCCCTGATTTCGAGGTCTCATTTTCTAGCATATGCAGCTCGAAATTCTCAGAAGGATGGGAATGGAGAGTTGGAATGCCTAGGGATCTGATAAGTCTCAAATATAAAACGGACTGGGAACTCCAGCTCGAGGAAGTAAAATGTTATTTGGAGCTGAAAATTGTCACCACATGTCTTATGGATGATAATCTTTTCCTTTAAAGTGCTAAGAGTATTGGGCCTTAGAAATTAAAATGTTACCACTCATGATTATGAATCCAGATCTGATTTGCTCATCTAACTAAGTTAAAGTCACTGGTTGGGTAATTAATTGGTTCTGTTTCAAGTTTTAAATACATGATAATTGCTTGTAGTATGGTTATATTTCTAAATTTTCTTATATTGTGTAATTTGTATAACAATTTCATCATCTGTGTTGTTAGGAAAGCAATTTCTCTTATAATCTAGATGTTGTTAGATTAAGAATTGTACTGTCAGATTATGAGGATGTTAACTAAGACAAGGATTTTTGGAACTACCTAGTCATACAGTGGAATTCCTACTGAGTAAATTTTTAAAAACCTGGTAAACTTTGTTATTGTGATAAGGCTAATTTAGTTGAATATGTTCTTACCTTAGAAAAAACTGAACGTCCCAAGGTAAACACCTTTTGGTATTTAGTAATTTGTGATTATTGAGAATTTTGGTTTTATGGCACTTTGGGGGTTTGTGATACTTAAAAGATATTTTATACCAACTTGGTTTTGATAAATTCCAATCTTTAATGTTTCCAGTTAATTTATTTCATGAAAGTTTAGTGATTATTCCTTTTAACATCAGGATAAATTGTAAGCTTTTTTTTTTAAAGAAAGGGAAATGCCTTTTACAAAGAAATGTTTTGCAAAATCTTTTTGCGTGATTTTTAGGTCTACTAAATTTTCATTTGTAAGCTAATTGGTTGCACTAATCTGATAATGATAACAAATATGTCCAAATCTACTATGAATTTTCCAAGTTTCATTTCTAGGTTTGTCGTGTCCTTGGATCAGCCTTAAATGGGTGCTTTCAGAGAAACAGAATCAATGGTTTGTGCTTCAGGTACCATAATGAGAGATAGAACGAAAATGTTTGTTCCCATAAATTTGGAGCAAACAACTAGAGAAGTAACTAAGTAAAACAGGATACAGTAGGTCTTCTCTGGTTTTGCTGATAGAAGTTAGTTAATCAGAACAAAAGATTCCATAAAATTGAAACAACTGCTAAAAGTAACTAGGTAAAATAGAACAAAGCTGTTCTTACCTTGTTTTACTGAAAGAAGTTAGTAAGTAGGACAAAAGCTTTGCTTAGAATACGCATGCTTAATAGGCTTATAAATATTAGCTTCTCCACTTCCAGGAGGGGCTAAGACACCATTTTCTGAACACGGTATGTATGAAGAGGGAAGAGGACATGTCAAGGAGTAGATGTGTAATAGGCGTACTGGAAAGTTGTACATTCTGGGGTACTCAGCCAGTGAGGAAACAGAGGAGGGACTTTGGGGCTAGGGATTAGAGATAAATAAACACCTAGAGTTGCAACTGCATAATAAACTGGGCTTTTAACTTCAACCCTCCTGAGTCCAAATGAATTATTTCTCACAATTCCTTGGGGGCTCCTCCAGGATACCAAGCATTGCGATGGAGAGGCGATCATCACCAAAGGGCAGGAAGCTGATTTTTATCATGCTCGTTGATTTTTAATGGCCTTGTGGATTGAGGGTGAGTGCCCTTTCTGTCCAACTGCGGGGACCCAAGATTAATTGAAAAGGAAGGATGAACAGAAACCACTGCCACTGCGTAAGCTCATATATGGGGCAAGGTAAGAAAATTTGAACTATTCAGTATTACCTTGTCAATAGGGGAATTATCCTACAGGGGTCTGAGACTGAGAGTGTGAGGTACACTTTGGAAGTACAGGAATGTAGGGCTTTGCTCTGAGGGTGCAAGCTTAGACTTGCAAATCTGAACTTCTAATTAAGAGGTGGATCTTTCACACTCAAAATATCTCAGGAAGATAGGTAGGATAGGAAGTCAGGGAACTAAGGTGCCAGGCAAGGAGAAAGGAAGTTCTCTGGGAAACATCCCTCCAGATAGCCCTTTATGAAGGATGTTGAAACATTGCAAAGATACTTCTTGCACAAGAGGGAAGTATAAAAAGAAAATGATAAAGGATTGCTGTTTTACTTGGTCTAGACAGAGTATTTTACTGCCAGCAGTGTTTTCGCCAAAATACGGAGCAGATGAGGCTTGGGTTATGTCAAATATTAAATGTTTTTTGTGAATAATAAAGATCCTTTCAATCAGAAGGAGTCTGATTATTCCTCCTGCTGGAAAGGAAAGAGTTCTGTCAAATTGTTTCCACTTAAGATGTAGGAAAAAGGAAAATGTGAATGCAAAAAGGAGGAAGATTCTCAGAAATGGGACCTCCTTCTTGCCCTTCTGCCCCCTTATACTCCTTCTATACCCAGAATTTCAGATATGGATTTGATAAATCTAAGGGAAAGACCTGAATTTCAGGAATCAGGATCTGGGTTTTAGGGAAAGAAAGCTGAGAACTTGCAGAGAGATCCAGAAGGTTTAGGGGCATGTAGTGTTCCCACCTTTACTAAATTAAGGAAAGAATTGGAACAATGTCAGAAGGATCTCCAGAATTACCCCCTTCTTTCTAAAGAGAAAGAGGAACCTAAATTATACCCTTTAAGGGTGGTTCCAGTGGGTCAAGGGAAGAGTGGATATTTAAATGCCGCTTTAATAAGTACTGAAGTTAGGAATTTTAAGAAAGAAATGAAATCTCTGACAGAGGACCCAATTGGCTTAGACCAATTTTTAGGCTCCAATTTTTATACCTGGTCTGAAATGATGGCAATTATGAATATATTGTTCTCAAAGGAACAGAGGGGGATGATTAGGAGGGCAGCCCTGAGAGAATGGGAGAGGAATAATCCGTCTGCCCCAGGAGTTCTAGCTGCAGGACAAAAATATCCAAATACTGACCCTATTTGGGACAGCAATGACCCAGTAGATACTAGAAAAATGAGAGATCTGAGACAATTGATAATTAAAGGAGTCAAAGAAGCTGTACCTAAGTCTCAAAATTTCAACAAAATCTTTAAAATTCAACAGGAGAAAAATGAGTCCCCCTCTGCATTCCTGAAAAGACTTAGAGATCAAAAATGAGAAAGTACTCAGGTATGGACCCTGAGTCGAGGGTGACTCAAAGCTTGTTAAAGGTCAATTTTGTCAACAAATTTTGGCCAGACATCCAGAAAAAGATGCAGAAAATTGATAGATGGAGTAAGAAACCATTAGACAAGTTGCTTAAGGAGACATAGAAAGTATTTGTAAAGAGGGAAAACGAAGCAGAGAGCCAAAATCATGGTTTCAGCCTTGGATGAGGTGGTTAAGAGGTTGAATGGGGAAGGATCAGGAAATGGAAGAGGAAAGAGAAAGAAAGGGAGGAAGGCTCCACAAAGAGAATGGATGAGGGCAGGAAGAGGAAAAGGAAGAGGGAGGGGCAGAGGTAGGCCAAATTATAACCGCTTTAATTCAGCCAGATGCTTCTATTGTGGAAAATTTGGACACTTTAAGAGGGAATGTCCTGAACTAAAGGAGGAAGAAAAACTAGCACCTCTCATGATTTTTTTTCTTTGTTTTGTTTTTTTGGTGAGGCAATTGGAGTTAAGTGACTTACCCAGGGTCACACAGCTATTAAGTGTCAAGTGTCTGGTCTGAGACCTAATTTGAACTCAGGTCCTCCTGACTCCAGGGCCAGTGCTTTATCCACTGTGCCACCTAGCTGCCCGGCCTCTCATGATTTTTGATGAGGAATGGGGAGGTCAGGGGCTTCTGAATAGTTGGTCCCACCTGGAGCCCTTGATAAACTTAAAGGTGGGACCATGGGAGGGAGAGGTAGTCTATTTAGTGGACACTGGGGCAACTAGGTCATCTCTGAATTTCAAACAAGAAGGGGTAAAATTTTCTACACAGAAACTTATAGTCTTGAGGGTTAAGAGAGAGGGATTCTCGGTACCCATATCTGAACCTATTAAACTAAAATTAAAAGAAAAAGAGATAATTGGACACCTGCTATTTATTCCTGAGGCAGGGAGTAATTTATTAGGGAGGGATTTAATAGTGAAATTGAATTTTAAAATGGAAGTGTATAACCAGGAAATACAAGTGAAAATAGCATTACTAATAGAAGAAGAGAGGCAAATAGATCCAATAGTTTGGGTTAGAGAAAGCAATACCATGAAGAAAGAAGGTCAAGTGGTGTGGGTGAAGCAATACCCCATTCCCATGGAAGGGAGGAAGGGGCTGCAGCTGGTTATTGAGGGATTAATAAAGGACAAGTTATTGGAACCTTGCATGTTTCCATATAACACTCCAATTTTGCCAGTCCATAAGCCTGATGAGTCCTATTGTTTAGTCTGGGACATATGGCAGTTAATAAAATAGTTTCAGTAAGGCATCCAGTGGTCCCGAATCCTTATACTATCATGGGAAAACTTCTGCACCAGGATGGATGGTTTAGTGTAGTGCATTTAAAGGATGCCTTCTGCACCTGCCCCCTAGCTCCAGAAAGAAAAGATTTATTTGCCTTTGAATGGGAGAATCCCCTTACAAGAAGAAAACAACAATTTAGGTGGACTGTTCTACCTTAAGGATTTACAGAATCCCCAAATTTATTTGGGCACATTTTGGAGCAATTATTAGAAAAATTTCCAGTGCCAAAAGGAATCACTTTATTTTAATATGTAGATGATCTATTGATATCAGGACAAAAGAAAAATAAAGTAGTGGAAGCAACAAACATTTTACTAAATTTCCTCAGGAAGGAAGGTCTTAGCATGTCAAAAAAGAAATTACAATATGTGGAAAAGGATGATTTAGTATTAGTGACTGAATCTTGTATCAATCCTGCCTCTTTCCTTCAAAAAGGAGAGACAGAATATGAAAATTTGGAACATAATTGCCTTGACATCATAAGACTATCAAACAAGTGTATGTCCAGACTTACGAGACATCCCTCTCCATGAGGGGCGTTGTCTTTTCATTGATGGATCTTCCAGAGTAATAGAGGAGAAAAGATATAATGGATATGCTGTCATTGATGGTGAAAGTAACTCTTGAGAGGAATCTGATAGATTACCTAATAATTAGTCAGCTCAAACTTATGAATTATGGGCCCTCAATCAGGCTCTAAAGTTGTTGGAAGGAAAGGAGGATACTATATGTGCCGACTCCAAGTATGCTTATGGAGTAGTTCATACATTTGGAAGAATTTGGTATAAAAGGGAAATGATAGACACCAAAGGGAAGGAATTAATACATGAAGAATTGGCAAAGCAGGTACTGACCAACTTACTGTTACCAGTATCCGTAGTACATGTGAATGGCCACCAAAAAGGAATATTTGAAGCAAAGGGGAACAGATTAGTAGATGAGAAGGCTAAGGAAGACATCTTGCCTATGGAATCTACAAAAATGCATGTGTTAATCCCCCAAGTCCCTGAGACAAAAGTGATCCCTGTGTTTACGGAAGTCGAAAAGAAAGATTTGATTAAATTTGTGGCAATTGAAACTGATCAAGGTCGTTGGTTATTCTAAAATGGGAGAGAAATGGTTAATAAACAAATCATGAGATAAATTTTATCAATTCTACATCAAGGAAGTCATTAGGGAGTGCAAGCAATGTGTGATCTAGCTTTCAGAAAATACCATTTAACTAGATGAGTCAAAGCTTATCCTTTGCCTAATACTAAGGTGGCAAGTGTATCTAAGATAATTTTGGAACATATAATTCCACAATATAGTTTAGTAGAAAATATAGATTCAGACAATGGTAGTCATTTTACACCCTGAATTTTACAGCAAATAATGGATTATTTGGAAATAAATTAGGAATTTCATATCCCTTGGCACTGTCCCTCACCTGGGAAGATAGAAAGGATTAATCAGACTCTTAAAAAAACACATTTCCAAATTAACATTAGAAACAAAATTGCCCAAGACTAAATGCCTTCCAATAGCTTTACTAAGAATTAGAATTTCACCTAGGAAAGATCTTGATGTATCACCTTCTGAAATGTTGTTTGGGTTACCTTATCCAGAAGGGCAGGGAGACATCCCTACTTTTGAGACAAAAGATAGATTTTTGAGGAACTATGTACTGGCACTGTCCACTATATTTTCAGATTTGAGGAAGAAAAGACTTCTGGCTCAGACTCCACCATTGAGATTCACAGTACATAAATACAAACCAGGGGACTGGGTACTGCTCAAATCCTGGAAGGAGACCAAACTTCAGCCTGACTGGGAACGACCCTACCAAGTGTTGCTGATCACAGAAACAGCAATCTGGACAGCCAAAAAGGAGTGGACACATTATACCAGAGTCAAAGGACCAGTGGATGAACCCCAGGAATGGACTATTCAAAGTTGCCCTGATCCGGGAAGGAAGGGGATATCAAAAGACCCTGGATTGATCATTCTTGTGTTTACAGTATTGTTTCTTATACTTGTAGTAATATTCTTGGTAGCCATTTGCGAGAAACTTAGAGAAGGGATCCATTTATTGAAAGAGCTAGTTAGGGATGATAGGTGTAGGGCTCCTGTGTGTGTAGTATTAGGAATTATAAAAACAGCTATATAGAGAATTATGGCAGAACTTCGCAAATACTTCCATTGTCATATTTAGTGATAGCAGTCCTAATCCTCCCTGGTCTGGCCCATCCTGTGCCTCTTCCCATTGCCTTTTTACAACTAGCCAAAATAGTGACTAACACTTTCGACCTGAGCGGTTATTGGGTCTGTGTAGATCCTGAAACAGCGGAATTGTGGCCATGGTACCCAGTACCTTTGAGTCTGGGTTGGATATTTAGTAACCTGTCAGAGGTAAGGAGTGACACTGGTTTCTGGAACCAAGCAGAAAAACATAGTTGACCCTTGGTTAGGAGTGTTTGAGGACAATATTGCCTGAACCAAACAGGAGCAGGAGAGAACCAGGGAGAAAGTGGCTGTGAGTAGACCTTCTCCTGGGGAGAGGACTGTAGAGGAGAAAGTGGTTGCCCCATTAATTGCACAAAATAGAGAGATCAAAGGAGTAGTATACATATTAAGTGTCCCAACAGTACTTGGCTCTCCTGCTCATCTGAAGATGGCACACCTAGTGGGGATTGTAGTTACACCCACCTACCTTTTAATTGGACAGAAGTATGTTATATTGGATTAGTAAGATCAGCCTTTTTCTTTTTAGAAGGACCAAAGGGGCATGACCTTGGGATCCCATTATATGATGATTTCCAAAGACAGAAAAGAACCTTAGATACCAGCATTACCCAGTCAGGAGATGCCAGTGGTTGGGGGAATGAATGGCCACCTGAAAAAACAATTCAAACTTATGGACCAGCAACTTGGGCCCAAGATGGGAGGTGGGGATATAGAACTCCCATCTATCTCCTTAATAGATTAATTGGGCTCCAGACAGTGGATTATTTATAATTATAACTATATAAAATTATAACTTACCAAACTGCACAGAACTACCTGCTGATCAAGCCACCTAGACATGGGCAGCTGTGTATCAATATAGATTAGTATTAGATTATCTTCTAGCAGGAGAAGGGGGAGTTTGTAGAAAATTCAATATGAGTAATTGCTGTCTACAAATTGATGATAATGGGCAAATAGTTAAAAATCTGGCTACAAAACATTCGTAAAGTGGCACATGTGCCAGTTCAAAAGCGGAAAGGATGGTTTGACTCAAACTGGTTTAATTGGCTGACAGGGTCATGGTGGAAGCAACTTGGAATGATAATTATGTTGGGATTAGAGGGATTATCATTTATACCTTGCTTGATTCCTTTACTGATAAGGCTTATTTCAGTGTGGTAGAGGGGATGCAAATTGTTAAGTTGCTCAGTTGTGGTAGTAAAAAGAAAACCCAGTTCTAGAGAAGAAAGGGAGGAGAAGGAATGTTTAAAACTTCTGGAAAATTTTGAGAAAAGGGCTAAAAAGGAAAATAAGAAATTATGGAAACAAAACCCATATTAAAAGAGAGAGGGAGAAATTGAGAGATACAACAAAAACATTTGTTTCTACAAAATTGAAACAACTCCTAGAAAAGTAACTAAGTAAAATGGGATACAGCTCCTCTTAACCTTGTTTTGCTATTAGAAGTCAGTAAGTAGGACAAAGGTTAAGCTTTGCTTAGAGTGCTTAAGAGCTTGTGAATACTAACTTCACCTCCAGGCGGGGCTAAGATGCCATTTTCTGAACATTTGATGTATATAGAAGGAGGAAAGACATCAAGGGGTAATGTGTAATAGGCGTACCAGAAAGTTGTACACTCCAGAGTACTCAGCCAACGAGGGAAACAGAGGAGGGACTTTGCGGCCAAGATTAGAGATGGTGAACTCTTACTCTGGTACAGTGTGTCCTATTCAATAGGACACCTATGTCCTATTGAATATGTCCTATTGTCCTGTTGAATTCAATAGGACACCTATGTCCAACTACGTAATAAACTGGGTTTTTAACTTTATCCCTCCTGAGTCTGAATGAGTTATTTCTTACATTAAGGAGTTTTGAAACAACCTCCTTATAATCTTGTCTCTCCCTTCCCCCCATTCCCTCCCCTGAGTCAAGAGGGTATCTCATCCAGGGGATTCCAAACAGCCCCAGGTTTTTCTGTTAATCCCTCTCATCCCAGATCAGATTAGAAAAAGAGAGTTTCACCCTTCCACTCCCACCTGCAAATTCACCTTCCCCTACCTGGCTAAAGGAAGGAAGGGGAGGGGCAGCACCTACAGCCTGGAAATATCTTCCAGCACACAGCCTAGGGAGAGAGTGAAAGAGGATGGGTCAAGGTAAAGAAGCCACCCAGTCAGCGTCTGCACGTGGTAAGCCAGCCCATTTTTCTATCAATAATTTTCATATGATCTGGAAACACAACTGTCATCTGAAGTTTATTGTTTTGTGTTACAGTTAAAACAATTTGGTTATCACTTACAAGAATTGTATTGTTTTAATGCTAAAACCTAAAGCTGGTAATTGATTACTTAGCTCTAAGGAGTTTGTTTGGATTATGGAGTTCCTAAAGGAAGAACTTAGCTTGCTGAGAATTTGCAAGTATATAGAAATGATCTCTAGTGATTGGCTTTTGCATAGGGACAAGTTTAAATTTGAGATGTGAGTCCTGGTAAACTTTCAATTAGTTACACTTGACATCTGAGGCAAAAGCTCTTGGGACTATAATGAATTGTGTTTTGAGTTGTCTGGATCATAAAAATCCATCTATAATCAATAGTCAATAGAGAAATGCCACAAGCTACTCAGAGGGAATGTGACTGTTACAAGTGGAGGTCTGCATCTGGAAAAGCTGAGAGGACAGTCTTAGCCTCAGCCTAGGATGGAAGCCTCCTGACTCAGTTTCCCTATTATGTTCCTTTGAAAAAGAATGCTTCCCACCTGACTATTCCTGAGTATGGCTATGAGATGGAATTGATACTACATGATTGGAAAACTGTGATGTCCTTGTTTTCCCTTTTTATGGCATATTTCTGTAATCAAAGCAAGTAGTCAGTAAAAGATGTGAGCACAATGCAAGTATATGAAATCTTGCTATTTTCAATCTGAATGTGTAGTCATCCCGTATCCCAAACAGTTGGGTAAATTAGTACTTCTGCACAGTCACGTGAAAGAATAAATCCCTGAAATATAACATTCTTTCTGAATGACATGGGAATAATTAAAAAAAGGGGGCAAGAAGTTTGTGAAACAAAGGTACAAACACAATGTTGAATCATTATCTCATAGACTAAGCCTGGGATAAATCTGAACTACTATAATAAAATGTGTGTTTAAGATCTGAGCTATTCAGCCTAAGATTGTATTCCTTGTTATTATATTTTTTTTGGTAAGGCAATTGGGGTTAAATGACTTGCCCAGAGTCACACAGATAGTGAGTGTTATGTGTCTAAGGCCAGATTTGAACTCAGGTCCTCCTGACTCCAAGGCCAGTGCTCTAACCACTGTACCACCTAGCTTCCCCTACTTTCTGTTTCTTAAGCAACTTAGTATATGGATATTTGGCCTAGACATCTGCCTGTTGCTAGACATATGTCTGTATGGAATAAGGTCCTTAAATGTTTCAAAATGATGTAAGAATAATTGGGTATTGTAGAACTGATTGAGGGACCTAGCTGTTATTCTGTTAACTACTGAAACTAAATCAGAGACATCTTCAGTTTGGGGAAAAGAATTTCAGGGCAATTTTCTTGGAGGGAGGTAATTTATGGAATATTTTTGCATTAATGGAAAACTCAATTTCATTTCAAGTTTACTACTATTATAGAAATAATACCTGTTTATGCTGTGTGTCCTGTGGTACAAACATGTTTTATTGTAAACAACTTGTTCATATGCACTGTTTTGGAATTAATTACCTACGGATCCTCCCAAGTCTTTTATGATAATTGGAATGAAAGTCAGCCTCTTAAAAGTAAATTCATTTGTATAACTATTAAACTCCAGAGTAGAAAGCCTTCTACCTGCAAAAGTGTTATTACTTATATTTACATGTATAGGGTAGGATCCTCAATAGCATCTAACCCTCCTAAAGGAATTGGAATCAGAGTGGGAACTTTTAAGAAATATTTGAGGAAATGACAAGATCAGATAATCCTGCATGTCAGAAGGAAATAATAGTATCATGGGGTTCTTGGTTTCTTTCTTTATTTTCCTCTTTTCTGACCTCACTTTTGATGCTCATTCAAATAGACCCAAATAGGGTCCCGCATATTGAACTTGCTTGTCAGATTTATGTCTCGTAGACTATTGGCTGTCCACTTGTAGATGGTCATGCAAAAAGGATGCCTGTCCCACATTCTCCTCATCCCTTGGAGGATGCTTCTGCCTCATTTTACTCCCTTCCCCACCCCCACTCAGGTAGGAACAACTAGCTCCTTTGTTCCTCTCCCAAAAGCATTTGGGTGAATAGTGAGGCAGACAGGAGTGCTGGAGGCAAATGAAGCAAGCAGTGTGCAGGATGTGAGATATGAGATAAGATGCTAGGTGTGACTAGTCAGAGGAGTGATGAAAGAAACATTGAGAGGCAGCTGGGTGGCACAGTGGATAGAGCACTGGCTCTGGAGTCAGGAGGACCTGAGTTCAAGCCCGGCCTCAGACACAATACTTCCTAGCTGTGTGACTCTGGGCAAGTCAGTTAACCCCAACTGCCTTACTAAAAAAAAAAAAAAGAAAAAGAAAAAGAAAAAAAAAGAAACATTGAAGGCCCTCACCATGGACTTATCTGTGTGCTTTCTAGCTATGCCATGTCCTGGTCCCACCCTGAACCCCTTCTTCTGTTCCTAACTCACCTTGTGCCTAGAGGTAGGCCTGCTTCCCCAGGACTGGAAATCTAATGCCTTAATTCAAATAGGGAACTCTGTAGGGTAGGGCAGAGTGTGTAATTGCTGGATGTGTCACCACCATTCCCAGGACACTAGTTTACTCCTCATAACTCTCCACTTATTCCCTGAAAACCCTGCATGGAATTTATCCTTTAAGCATTAGAACTCCATACTCAAAAGATACTACAGGCAGCCTCTTGGCTGCAAGACATCCATTCCAGCCTAATATCTCCCTCTACCTCTTTCTGGGGGTTGTGGTTCCTCTCCCTTCTTTCCTCCATTCTGACCCTGTTACTAATCATTTTATTCACTCTTATATTTGATCCATGCTTGTTTAACCTCCTGGTTTGCTTTGTGTCTTGTCACCTGCAGAAATTCCACTTTTACCTTTTAGGATATCAACCCCTGTGAGGGACTGTCTGATGTTGGCAGCTACCAGGTTGGGCGCTGTGGCAAGGGTAGGATAAGATCTGGGTATTTTGGAAGTCGAGGCAGGGGCTGTGGTAGGCAGAGTCGTGGTGAACTGGGATGGGCTGGATACGGAGAAGCCCTGAGGCAGTGGGCAGTGCTTGTGAGATAAGCTGGGTGCAAGGAAGTAGCCGGAGCTTGAGCTCCTGAGGCAAGGGGCGGTGCCACGTGGGAGTGGGACGGCAGAGGACTGAGTTCCCTTTGCTTAGTCCCCTCCCTACATGCAACGTCATCCCCAGACACCTCATGTGACCTTCCTGACTTCCTGGGTCCCTTTGTGCAGCACTGACCCCAGACCCCTCCTGAGTCTGACTTCCTAGGTCACGTACTCTTGTCTATGCGCCATTCCCAGATGCCTCCTCCCTGTATCCGGTCCTAGCCTCCTACGTCACTCCCTCCCCCTTGGTGTGCTAAACTCAGACAGCCCCTTCCGGTATCTGACCCTACAATCATTGGCTAGTAAGCGGGCTGGGGAGGAGGGGCTAGGTAGTTAGTTAGGAACAAGCGTGGGCAGATCACACGCTCTCTCTCCTGGCTCCTGCCCTGTTGCTCTGGCCTTGCTGCTTGGGCTTGCTATGATGGCTTGCTGTGTTGGCCTCTGAATAAAGCTCTGGTGTTGGTGCCTCCCGATGGCTCATCTCTGTGTGGTTATCCGGCAGAGGACCGAAGACTCGAGTGTGAGTAAGACTCTGGTAGTGTGCTTCTTATAGGAGGAGCGGGTACCGGCGTACGGCCGGCAGAAGGTCAGCGTGCGGCCAGTATAAACCCCTACCCTTGATGTCCCCAAATGGTTTGCCTGTCTCTACCCTGGACTCAGCTGGCACTGCATTCCTCACTCTCAAACTGACCATCCCTCCTCAACCTATTCTTGGCCCTTAAAATGGACTCTTCACTCCTGTTCAACAGAAAGCATGTACTGAAGACAATGATCTTTGCCCCTTTTCCCAAAAGATTTCTCCTGCCTAGTGGTTGAGTGGGGAAATGAGATAGATATAAACAGTGCCCTAAAAGCTTAAAAAAAAAAAAAACTGAGGGTTGGTTTTCCAGTACCTGGTGAGGTCCCTCCTGAGCTTAAGGGCATCCTAGAGGCTCTTCCCCTTGTCTTGAGATACTATAAAACTTCCCCCCTATCCTGGACCATAAAA